TATGCTGAATCTCCCATGGGAAAATATCTGGGTAAATTATAATAATTCACTAATCTGAATTAAGGCCATTTGGGGATGATTCTCCTTACTAACCATGATTTCCAGTGAGGTCGTAGTGAGGTCGTTATAATTTACCCAGAACCCATGAATTTGCTGAGCCCGGGAGGCGAAATGTTCCAAGCGTTTCTTGTGTTGCCTCTCCTGGCGCAATCCATGAGACTCCAGTGACTCCAGTCTAGAGTTTACCATCTGGTTATGAATAACAGAATAACATAGCCATGGAAAACCACCATGACGCCCGGGCAACCAGGAAGTTACGTTGTTTGGTTATGACTAACAGTTGGCCATGGAAAGATCCACCATTTTGTAGATAGCGAAAAAAGTCTATAAATGGTGATTTAACCATAGGTAGATAAAACATGATAAAACCATTTATTATCTATTTTTTTAGGATAGCTAGAGCATCTATTTCTATGGGCCATCTATACCAGGGCTATATCATCTCAAATTTAGTTTATATGAGTTTTTTGCTGGTTCTGTGATCCCCTTCCTATGGCTTTTCAGTGATGAAATAGTGGGATCTATGTGAAATCTATCTGTTGTCTGTTTTCGTTTTTTCCCCTCACAAAGTAAAAATCTAAGCAAATGGCCCTGTATGGCAACAAACAATCGATGGAGGATGTCAGCTCTGGGCATTCTCATTGTTCAGGATAACTACAGCTGAAGTGATATTGTTGTCCAGTAATTGGCATGAGTGCTATATGTGCTATGCCAAACACAGGTGATTCATGGTGATTCCCCAATTGTATACTACAGTCACCCCTTATATTTGGATCGTCAAAGCCGGGTTTCCCGTTTCGCTTTTTGAAACGAAGCCATTGGTATCAACCATCTGTGGCGGATCCCGTTTCTCCTGCTGTCGCGCATGCTGTTGATGGAGGCGTTTGCACGCAGCAGCCGCATCCACCTGGGATGAAGTGGAACTTGAAAACTAGGGTCCCAGGATGTCCCAGGTAGATAAGTTTAGTAGTCAAGATGGTGATACAATATACTATAGTTATTAGATGTTATATGATGTTATTCCCCACCTGCCAGGTGAGGGTTGTTAGATTTTATGTCAGTTGCCTCCTCCTCCTGCTCCTCCTCCTCCTCCTCCACCTCCTCCTGCCTCGTCCTCCTCCTCCTCGTCCTCCTTGTCATCCTTGTCGTCCTTGTCGTCCTCGTCGTCCTCGTCGTCCTTGCTCAACTGCGACCCGCGATCCACAGTGTTCTCTGCCGGACCTCAACCACGACCACCCACGCCCAGTGTTCCCTGCCGGACCTCAACCACGACCATCCACGCCCAGTGTTCCCTGCCGGACCTCAACCACGACCATCCGCGCCCAGTGTATCCCCGCCCAGTGTTCCCTGCCGGACCTCAACCACGACCATCCACGCCCAGTGTTCCCTGCCGGACCTCAACCACGACCATCCCCGCCCAGTGTTCCCTGCCGGACCTCAACCACGACCATCCACGCCCAGTGTTCCCTGCCGGACCTCAACCGCGAGTATCCACGCCAAGTGTTCCCTGCCGGACCTCATGTAGGAAGATATGGGACAAAGAATGTGCAGAAGAAACACCAGACCTTCCCGGTCAACCACGACCATCCACGCCCACTGACATGTTTATATCCTGTTTGACAGACTGACATGCACAATGACCTGCCAGGTGAATCAAATGATTGGGATAGTTAGTTGGGCAAAAGTCCCGTGACAAAAGCTTCAGACAAAAGTGGTGTCAACAAGCTGTTTTGAAATGTCATGGTGGGGATCACTCGAAGCAAAGTAATTAGTTTTTTTACGGTTCCATGGTAAACTCTTAATTATACTGGGAGTCATGGAAGAACCGAACCGGGAAAAGAACTTGTTCAAAACTCTAATGGCCTGGATCATGTTGCACCTCCTAAGGGTGTCTCAATAGCGGCATCTTATTCAGCAGATCCCCCCAGCATCCACCAAGATTTTCCTACAAGGTGGTGCCCCCCAGTTCGGAATCCCGTTCAGTTTGTGAACATAACTCCAATTTCACTATGGTTTATGGTAGATATATCTATACTATTCCTATGGTTTATAAACCAACGTCCCATCACTGGGGGGCGCACCAAATTGTAGCATGATTTCCTAACCAGTATGGTTTTGCGTCAAGACTGACCCCAGACCGCCCAAGTTGGAGAAGTTGCTGTTTTCTCCAACGGTTTCCATGACATGGCTACAACATGGTGTGTGCTATGGTCATCCATCCCATTAATAGAAATCCAAACATCATCTGGGTCCAATAGGGACACGCACACACATATATATATATATAAACATTTGAATCCAAATTCAAATGACTTGACTACACATGGAGAATCAGCTTCCTGGCGGGCTACCACTTATGTCCTGGTCTATGTTTGGGGATGATATCTGGTGGTGCCTTTCAGTTCTAACTGGTGTATCAACGACATCTCCCGTAAAAGCTAGTTTAAAAACAATTCTATATGTACAAATAGTTATACATATACATAATAATATATATATAATATGTAATAAATAATATATATATAATATTTAATATATATATATATATATAATATTATTTAAATATATATATATAGTAAACAAATATATATATATACATAGTTAGCTATAAGTTATAAACTAAACCAATTTTGCGATTCCGAGCTGTGGCACCACTTGAAAAAAACACCAACACCATCGTCCCACCAGATGGGTTGCCTCTTTCACGTTGCGGTGAACGTTATTCTCTTGAATCTCTTTCTCTTCCTCTTCTCGCTTCCTAAGCACAGCCACATCACTTGGCGGCTGCAAAACGCCACCCAGAAGGAGAATTCTGAAAAAAGGTGGGGATTCTCCCAATGTCATTTACAGCTGCCATTTGGGGATGATTTTTACCATCCATCTACCGCAAGATTGGGAGTTTATAACATGAAATATGTCATCTATGATAGACATAAAATACACAATAATAAATGTGCAAGCCGCGTCTTGACGCAGTTGCCATCAACATCTTACTTTTCATGTTGTACACTCAATCTCAATCAAATTCAAGGCCACTCCCGGCGTCTGCACCTCGACTTCACCCAATTTGGCAACTCGATTCCATAGATTTCCCGTTCAAAGGCAGGAACGCAACCATGATTGAACGATGCAATATAATATATACAACATATGGCCATTTCAGTGTGTATATATAGTATACCATGCATGTGCATTATTTGTGTGAAATTAAAGGTGTGTATAGAAGTCATATGTTCGCAGAAAAAATCAATAAATAAATAAATAAATAAAGGGGTAAATGTATATATATATATATGATGAGGATGAGGATGAGGATGAGGATGAGGATGAGGATGAGGATGATGAATAAGATATGCAAATATAGAGACCACTCCAAGCGTCATCCGAAGCTTCTCAGTTCTCTTCTCCTTGGGGTCGCTTTTTTGTGCACCAGCTCTGAGGAGCGATCAATGGTGGAGGAGAAACAGCCCCGTGGAAAATGCATGAACAATGCTTGCAAACCATCAAGAATAGAGATGTTTAAATGGGATTTAATGATTTAATGGTTAGACATGGTTCTTATGGATTTGTTCCATTTCATTTTACTAGTAGTAGGATTTAAGGGGATCTAGCGCCATTAAAAAAACAAAACATGGCAAACCCTGTCACCAAGACAGCATCTGCAAGAAATTCAATGCTTTTGTCCCAGCAGCCTCCAGCAGTCCCCAGCAGCTCACCATCCAATGGGCCCAACTGCTGGGTAATTTTTTACCAGGTGATCAAAAAGTCTTCGGGCGACAATCTCAACGAGGGTTTCCTGCTGCCGTTGCAAAAACTCATTGGAAGAGCTTGGAAGGCGCTGGCAAAAGATCCTTCTTGAGGTTGCCGCAGAGAAGTGGATCACATGGAGCCACTTTTCATCAAGGGAAACACCTCCCCACGACAAGTCTAGGTGTTGCCCAATCCGGTGCTCAAGGTCAAACCGCCGGTGGTGCCCTATCCCAACCATCAGTTCTTCTGCTGAGGCCCCCTTAGCCCAGACTGACTAGCTGATGCTAAATGGGCCTAGTTGGGGTTCACTGTGTTGTGGGGCGTTTTCATCATCCATGGCGCCTTAGCCCCCTGAAAAGCAGTCAGAAAATGGCTCTATCCAAGCCAAGATATCTATTCAATGGTCCTCTCCACTTCAAGTTATATATTCAATGGCCCGCTCCAAGCCAATTTATCTATCATGTGGTTGGGAGACTCTATTTGTAGCTCCCCACATCTCCGCACTTAATAGGGAACATGGATACCCTTAGCCCAATTCACTTCCAACTAACCACTGCCCCCGGGCGCTTTGTGCCGATGGTGGACCCAGTTGACTGAGTGGGCTTTGTCGGCGAAAACTACCGTGGTGCTAGGTGGCGCTCAACCATCCCCACTATGACGAATTATAGGTCCTGTAGCTGGTGAAACCCATGAAAACCATCCCCAAACCGGCTGAAAACATATCAAGTGACCAATTTCTTCTGTTGCCAATCCTTTTGCATCTGTATCCACTCCTGGAGCACCATCTGTGGCCCAAATCTTCAAGGCGCTACTTTCTACGCGACTTGGGACTTGAGAACATGTGGAATCCCACACGTGAATCTGGCTTAGGTAGGAGAGAAAAACGGTTTGTTTGTATTTTGGTTAGATTTCACCCTCAAAAACTATGGCTTCTGTCTGATAGCTAATGAATCCTTGGCGCACCACCAGAGCCATGACGGAAGCCTATGGGATCAGCAGGACCAAAAGCATGACAGGCACAGGCTGAAAAGCCAGTCCCAAGGTCATCGGATTTACCGGCCACAGGTGAAAAGCTTCATTTCCTGGGGTTGAATCCCAAATTCTCATGAGATTTACTCCGCATTTGTTGATCCACTTCTATTTCCAGATGGAACAAAGAAAATCCCCAACGATGTCCATATGCTGTGAAGTCAGCGACGGAAAAAAAAAAGCCCTATCTCCTGCTGGGTGGTTGGAGGCAACGGCTTGGGCGCGAACTTGATATTCTTCGGTTCCGCCAGAGTAGGCTTAAAGGGGTGAGCTTCCGCAAACCTTTGGCGTCCAACGTGGGTGCACGTGGTGAGCTGCTACACATAGCTCAACGTGGATGGATTTATGGTGGTTCTATAGTTGGATGGGTAAACTTACATAACTGGAGAAGCCTGTAACAGCATGAATTAAGGGTTTCGTCTCTTATACCCTAGTAGGGTATACACAACCATACGCCATCCAATATCTTTGATGGTTCAAAAACCACCGATGACATTAGTAGGATTTCGCTGATGGTTTGCCATTGTGTTTGTGGGTTTGCTCGTGTTGGTGATGAACCCTCACATGTTTTTACAACACTTTGAATTTATTCATAGTTTTGTTGTGGCAAGATGCTTCAAAATCACAGCTGGTCCAACATCTCAAAACAGGCTACCCCAAGTCAAGCCATTGCCATTAACCGGGCCTCGATGTTCACCTAACATTTGATGAGAAAAACATGCCCTCGTCCTGAGGATTACCCATTGGAAAATGGCGCAAAAATCAGCATCTCAGCCCAAGAAAATCGTAGAAGTGGATTACTGCTAATACTGCTAAATCCCAAGTCTAATCTGAGTCTAATCTGAGTCTAATGGTGAATTCCCAAGATGTTCATAGATTTTCTCAAAAAATCACCAGCAAACCCCGATTCTTGGGAGGAACATCAGCCCCCTTCATTGCAGCAAGAAGCTCATCCTGAAGCTTCTCACGAGATTGTTTCAGGCCGATCTCTTTCTGACCTCAACATTGAAGGTCGCGGATGACATTTTCTTCGGCTGTTGCAAAAAAGTGCGATTTGGAGTTGGGATTTTATGGTGTTTCTGGCCAAAAGCTCAAAAGTGTGCCTTCCTTGGGATTTTTACCAAGAACGACATGAAACGGGATTTAACAGATGATCGAAACTGATCTAAATATATCTAAGTTTGGGATAAGGAGATTGATGCATTAAACATGGAGATTGAACCGGGAAATAATGCAGGGTAGCTGTAATCTAATGTAATCTAACCTGACGGAAAAATGGCAATTGAATGTGGTAACATTGGGCGAATGATCTGCAGTTATCTACGCATTTGGAAATTATTCTGCAGCAAACTAAACATTTTGGGACGCCAAGTGCCGCAACTCCTCCAAGGGCCGATCCAAGAATTGAGGATGCGCAGATTTGTGGCCGTTTTAATGAAGAATTTGGGATAGTTTGGGATGACCTATTTGCAAAGATGCCCATCCTCTTGGATCTGAGAATCAGTTCCAAACAGAGGTTGAATCTGTATGGAATATGTTGGTTTATTGTTGGTCCAAGAATGCTGTACAGTATATATTGTACACAGCAGTTCTTGTGTGTGATTGTATGTGTATCGAAAATTTAAAATTTTAATGGGGAAGATTGAGTGAAGATTGTGACAGACCACAGAGAATCATTGGGTTTTAGGGGGGGGTACCCCTTTCATGTCTAGATTTCGAGCAGGCAACGTTGGATATCCCCAGCCACGCTAAGCACCCAACTTTCAATCTCCAACAAGAATGACCAGCTTGGAAATCCATTGTTAAGATGTGACATGGCAGTTTTCAGGGTGGCATTTTGCTTTCGCTCTCTATGAACCTAAATCACTCATACCCTCTGGTAACTTAACACAACTATTGAAGCCATTGCCAATTTAGTTCGTTGATTTTGCTATTAAAAATTGTGATTTTCCAAAGCCATATTAGATTATCAGCTGGGCGCAGTTCCTGTGAACTAAGTGGATATATATATATATATACAATATTGTATATAACTATGTAACTATATAACTATATAACCATAGTTAATAACTATATGACTATATAGCAATATAACAATATAACTGCAAGGTGGTGCCCCATACCTAGCAAAGTTGGTGAACATAACTCCAATTTCACTATGGTTTATGGGGTTTATAAACCAACTTAAACATCACTGGGGGGCACCACTTTGTATATGTTCAGTAAATAACTAGATAACCATAGTTAATAACTATATGACTATATAGCAATATAACTATATAACTATATTTTCAGTATATAACTAGATAACCATGGTTATAGGGCTTATATCCCAACAGGAGGTGAACTCACCAAACTTCTGCCACGGCACTATTGCTTTGTTGCAGCCTTTGCCATGCCTGGCACCGGTGGCACCGGCACATGGCCATGGCAATGTATCCAGCAACTATTCTGTGATAGATTCTTGGATTTAACCACTATAAATGGTGATTTAACGAATATAAATGGTGATTTAACCACTATAAATGGTGATTTAATGGTGATTTAACCACTATAAATGGTGATTTAATGGTGATTTAATGGTTTAACAATGGGTTAACAATGGTGAATAATGGGATGATATGGGAATTACCCTCTGGTTATGATATTGCCAGTTTGCCATGGAAAGATCCACCATTTTTATTGGGTGAACCATCTGTTTCTATGGGCCATGGCTTCCATGGCTATGTTAAATAACCAAAGGGTAAAAGTTGCAGGTGGGAATATATCTAACGAATCTATATAACATTATGTTATCTTTGGGTATATTTAGCAACATATCATTTTTTGGATAGTCCAATAGTTTGTTGGATTTATATTTGCTGACTGGACTTGAACAATGAACTCCCTTGAGCAAATGCCATATCTACCAGGGGTGAGTAGAGTAGCTGACCAACAGTAGATGGCAGCTTCGTTCAGGGTTCATCTCATCACTTCGCTCAAATTAATGTGTAAGATGTCTGTACCCCCCTGGATATGTCCACCCAAAATCATGATTTATCGATGATTTAAATGAACCATTGAAAAAAATCAGAGACACCCAGATAATATGATGGATTAATGTTGTTTCACATTATAGCCATCATATAGCCATTAATGTTAGCCATCAATGTTTCATATAGCCATCAAAAAAAATCCGAGTTTTGCCAACAGAAACCTCTCCAGGGCCCTCAGGGCCCTCAGGGCCCCCACCTCTTCCCTGGTACCCTTCATCTTCTCCGGTTGGAAGAGAGGCGTCTTGCCGATGGCGGGGCGAAACGGGTGACCTTCCAGGAACCTCGGAGACTTGACGTTGACGGAAACACGTTCAATACACACATTGGAAATAGGGTCTGGTTGGTTAATATACTGTTAATAATGGTTAATATATGGATGAAACATGGGGGTACCCTCTGGTAAACTAACATAACTATATTGAAACTGGCCATTTATGGTGGATTTACACATTAAACATAGTGATTTTCCGTAGCTATGTTAGTTTACCAGAGGGTAGACAAGAACTGGATCATTATAGTGATCCGTTGGGAACTAAATCCCAACTGACGTGCATAATAAAACAAGACTCCCCTGACACCAGGTAGACCTCAGAGGAATAATATATAAACACACACACACAAAAACAAACAAACAAACAAACAAACAGCTGGGAAACAAGAAGTCTTGAATCTTGAAACAACAGAAATAATTACAAAGCTATCATGTGGTTGGGAAACACTTCCTCGGCTTCCCAATCAATACGGAATATAGATACTGGATACCCATAGCTCCTAAATCCATCTCAATGACCAGGTGTATGTTCGGGAAAAATCCACCAATATCAAGCTGCAACAAATATATAATACTTTTAAGGAGTACCATTATATTATGGATGAGTTCCCAGTAAACCCTCCAATTTTCCATGGGATTTCCCATCCCATTCCCATTGCCGTTGCCAGGAAACTCCTCATCCTGCTTTTCCTTGGCCTTTTGCCTCGGAGCTGCAGCTCTTGTGATGTTCCATGGATCTTGGTCCATGACTAAAAAAAACATGACTGGTTGGTAAATATACCTGGTTAATAATGGTTAATATATGGATATATATATATATGGTTAATGATGGTTAATGATATCTGGTTGGTGGTATACCTACCCCTCTGAAAAATATGAAAGTCAGTTAGGATTATGAAATTCCCAATATATGGAAAAATAAAAAAATGTTCCAAACCACCAACCAGATGAAAATAACATTAAGAAAACCCCGGTTCCAAGTAGGATTGGACAACAACTGTGGGACATCTTTTGCACATTTGATGCCTCAGAAAATGGGATCAGTTTTCCTGTAAAAACAATGCGACCCTTCCATGCGCTCCGTTGCTTCTGAGAGTTTTGCTGAGGATCTCAGCAGTGGACCACGTGCGTTTGTGGAAGTGAAATGGAAGTTGTGCGTGCAATGCCAAGACACGGTTTAACCACCCCATGTGGAAGCAAAAACTGACAAAAAGAAACGCTGATATATGGTTTTTCCTTTGGTAGGCTCAAACATGTCACGTGGCATAAAGCAATGTGATTGAAACAACGGCCACATACGAGGTTGCCACAAGTGGCGTTTTTTCTCTTCTCTAGCCGCTACTCAGTTCCATAAAATGCAACGAAGAGTTACAAAATTAATGTTACATATCTCTAACGGACTCTAACGACATGCGCTTTCCAACAAAATCCATTAACTGGTTGGTTGTCTCAACCCCTCTGAAAAATATTGCTGTTGGGATGATTATTCCCAATATATGGAAAAATAAAAAACTAATCCAAACCACCAACCAGACAAAATCAAATACCTTCAGCACATCCAACTGAGATCCCAGTGACATGAGTTTCTTCTTCTGTTCCACACCCTCTTGGTGTAAACGAAGGCATGCCTGGAAGCAGGTTTTTTTAAACCGAAGCTTTTGTGTCCATGCGTTTCTGAGAAGCAAAACAAATTAGAGAAACAGCAAACCAAGGCTTACCAAAATAACTATGGTTCTTTTGGGAACCCTATGGGTGAATGGCAGGTGAATTCTTACCTTTGTTGGTTGGATGTGCAAACTATGCCGAGCTGAGCAATCAACACCGTTCTTTGGGGTAGTGGGACATGGGTATCCCTCCAACACTCAAAATCCAACCAGTATCAAGCATGAGTTATATTGAATTCTTCAAAAAAAGACTTGGGGCCCATGTGAATTTCCAAAAAGAAACCAGGATTTACCCTCTGGTAATGACTAAGATAGCTATTCAAAATGGCCATAGAAATAGTTCGTTGATTTACCGAACTAAAAAATGGGATACCCTCTGGTAATGACTAAGTCAGTTTGCTGTCGAAAATGGCCATTGAAATAGTGAGTTTTCCCATTAAACATGGTGGATCTTTCCATGTTTTTTTTGGTCAACGTTTACCAGAGGCTAACTCCGGCAGTTCATCTTCCATGGATCCACCAAATCCACAGCCTCGGTGGCAGCACCCATGCGTTTCCTGAGGGTGCAGCTGGTGCCACGGGCACCGCCGTAATCGTTTTCTCTATAGCAACCTCTAAAAAGATATAGGAAAGTACTATATACAATGATTGTAGGAACTGTTTTTTCCTAATTTTTCAGGTTGGTGCTATATTAAATCGCAATGGGTGACGGTATTCATATCCCATTTTCAGACCAAAAACTGGACGGATTTCGGGATGATTTAGCTGGGATTTCACCAGGTCATAGATCAAAACAGCTCTCAACGAGGCTTTCGGTATAAAAAAATGGGGGAAATAGGATTAAACTCTGGTAATTTAACCTAGCTATTGAAAATGGCCCAGTCGAAATAGTGGATTTACCCATTGATAGCATGGTGGATCTTTCCAGCTCGTTTTTGGTTAACGTTTACCAAAGGGTAAACTCTAATATAACTATGGAAAATCACCACTTTTAGTAGGTAAATCAACTATTTCAATAGGGTAAACTCTGGATTAAGTGTCTAGTCATGCGGATCTCCGCCTGTGGCATCATGATTTGTGGATCCCCCATTAGATCTCCAACGGCGCATCATCCGCATCGCGCCATGGCGTAAAAGAGAAGTCACCTTGGGTGGTTAGGTCCCCATGTGTTTATTCATAACCCGCAAACACTGGTTGGTGGTTGAGCCCTACCCCTCTGAAAAATGATGGAGTGAAAGTCAGTTGGGATGATTATTCCATTCCCAACTGAATGGAAAGTCATAAAATCCATGTTCCAAACTACCAACCAGCATTGAATCATATTTAACCCATGAAATCCAATCACATCCCTTGATTCATCCCATATTTCAGTGTTTATTCATAACCCACAAACATGATGCAACTGTTCTACTTGTTCTGAGTGAACTCCACCCGCCATGTCCAATTCTTCACCATGTCCACAATGTGGTGTCCCATAGTTGGCTAAGCTGATTTGTAACTCCTATTTCACCCTACGGTTTATGGCAAACATATCGAAGTCGAAGTAATTAATGGGGCCTTTAAATTTACGTTAAATGTACATACACATTTCTATATAATACATATATATGTATATACATATAAATAATTATAACTTAATTAACTAATGGGTCTGATTAACCACCAAAGATTAACTGTGAGGCAGTACCTTCCACCTACAGTAGCCATGGTCTCCCGTTGAACTTCGCTGTTTACGCCGCGCCACTCAGGTTTCTCCTGCTTCGCTTCCCTTGCCTCTTTCACCCGCGGCTTTGGGGGGCCGGCGCCTGGGAAAACGTGGTCATCAGTGAAGAGCAAGGATTATCTATGGCTATGGACATTTGATGCAATGTGGTGCCCCCCAGCTATAAGTTGGTTTATAAGCCCTAGTAAGTATAGATATATCTCCCATAATCCAAAGGTATTGGAGCTATTAACCAACTTAGCTAACTATGGGGCACCACCTTGTGGAAATGTTCGTGGAAGTTTGATATTTCCAGGACATTTCCAGGATTATCTTCCTCGGAAAATATGTCCATGATCACTTTTTCGATTTCACACATCCTTGAAAATCTTGTAGGTGCTCATCATATCTACATTTTTTCAGCTACAACTTTGGGCAACAGTGAGGATGTCCGACATGTCCATCAATCCAATCACCCATCACGATGTGCACGACGAAACGGAGGGAAAGCTGGCTAAGTGGCTTGAATGTTGAAATGTTACCAGCAAAAAATATTGACGTTTTAAATTGGGAATGGTCCATTCCATGGAAAATTCATGTTCAACACATACCCAAAGACATTAAACATTGGACGATATCTCTCGATATGTATGGTAATTTCACGTCATTTAAACATGGCACCCACCATCACCAAGTTCTGCCATCTGCAGTTTTTCCTTGGTTAACCACACCCAGAAAAGAATACTCAAACTCAAACAGTTTTTTGTGTAACCTTCAAACGCCATATGAAAGGAAATCCGGAGTTCCCTTTCGCTGCCCTCCCTTTCCCACCTGAATAGAGTCGATCATGCACGTTGCGGTTGGCCAACATGGCCGCAATGGCGCCGTCTGGCGCGTCGTCTCCTGGCGCTTGCGCGGTGAAGCGATAGGCACGTTGCATTTCCATAGCTCCAGCCATAACTCTAGGTCAGTTGGGAGAATTATCGGATATTTTACCCCCTGGTAATTTAACATAGACCCTGAAAATAACCTATTTATAGTGGAAACTAGTCTTCCAACGCCAGTATCGCTTATTAAAAGAGCTATCGCTTGGTGATTTGATCAACTTCCAAGTGGCTGGGCACTGCCTTGTACCAAAATTCCATGGCACTGTTCGGTGAATGTGCGTTGGTCCTCAGCCATAAGATAAACTGCTAAACATTGCTAAACTATGTTTGGAATTCTTGGCATCCAAATCAAGAAGCAGGTGTTGAACATCTCATGTTGGTTCTTAAGCCGCCACCTCCAAATTGTGGCTGTGATATCAAACCTCCATTGGTTGGGTATGGTTGGGTGATGTTCAACTGGATGAGACATGTCCCGATAAAACATGAAAGTTCTACGAACATGTCAGTACGACTACTGATTGCGGTTTCAACCGGGCCCAACAATGTTGAAATCGTTGAACATAATAAATATCTAACATCGTCAACCCTGGATTAATAAACCCCTAGGTTGTTTAATTGGGGGGATACCATTTAAATATCAGATTATTATTATTTGGGCAGTACCCCCCTAATTAATAAACCATGGTTTATTAAACGGGGTTGACATTATTCAATATATGATGTTCAAGCACCATTCCACTGTTTTTTGTTACATCATAGTTGATGTTTACCCAACGTCGGCTAGAAACCATCCCGCAATCACCAACTCCATGCAGGTCGGTTGAAGATCCGGTGTCATTGCTAAACGCGGTTTGGGTGCGTCCATGGGGTGCAGTAATGGTACCTCAATGGAGACATATTACATGACATTACAATATCATGAGCCACCGGATATCATTGGATTTCGATGATTTTTGATGTAGCATCTGGTTATTTAACATAGCCATGGAAAATCCCTTATAAATGGAGGTTTTAATGGGGAAAAAAAAACTCGATCTTGGTGTCCCCTCTACTCACGACTTGCATCTGCACTCCAAGGTGCCTCTCTCACTACTGGCAGCCATCAGCGGGCTGTCCATTTCAGCCTGCAGCTGAAAGAAAATGGAGATAATAAAGGCCCAGTGGCGGACATGAAACTATACCCGACAAACTCTGGAATATATGCTGATTTTGACCAAAAAACATCTAAAGTCCAAATGCTGATTTTAACCAAAACAATCTAGCGCATATCGGGTCCTTCAGAGGGAAGATCCGTTCGTAATGTTTCAACAAGCACGTTTGGTTTGAGTCAAAACTGGGTGCCTCAAAAATGAGATCCGTGAGTACCAATATTACCAACATTGATTGATATCCAATGTTGGTAATTCCTGCAAAAACCAACTCTGAAAAGAGAGAACTACACCCAGGTGTTTTGGTCTTTTCTTTGGCCCCCACAAGATTTCAGTTGCTTTTGTTGAGCCGACCATCACCAGTCGTCGTTTCCAAATGCAGCCAGTGGACCGAGTTCGCAACCGATGCCCGGCTGTGAAAACCCGCGCAGCGGCGCGGTTAAAATGTGTCAGGTGAAAGTGCAGCAGACTTTTGAAATGGAACTTTTGACCTGAAAACCACTCAAATAGAATCAAATAGATTCTTTAATTATTATACCAATCATTACCAATGTAGTATTTGCCGTATTCATTCACACGGTTCCTATAGATATATCAATGCACCGATATTTTCTCCGTGAGGGTCAGCTGGGTTCCATCTTCAACAAGCAAATGAGTATTGGAAATCCAAGTTTCCTGCAAACATGTGCCAAATAAACTAGCCATGTGCAGGTTCTTTTTTATTGTACCCGAGAATCCGGCTCACAATCGGATTACTGTAATAGTTTTATGTCGGCAGTTTTGTTGCTCAAGGTTTTTCGTTTGTTCCATAATATGTTTGCATGAAAAAAAACATCCTGGAAAACAACAACGGGCTCCCTTTGCCCCTGAGCCAAACATGCAAGGCAGTGGTAAAACTGGTGACCTGTAATTTTTGGGTGACATTTTTGGGTCTAAGCCTATGTTCCCATCGATTTTCTACAAGAAATCACCAAAAAATCCCCCATGATCCGAGAATCGAGGGTCGCAAAATGCACCATGAATGCCTACCACGTCCCCTTTGGTAATTCAGAATGGCCTCCGGGGAAAAACAACGATACTACTGTGGATGGAAGAAATCCTGCATCACCTTGGATGGTTGATACCCTATAATGGTGCCAGCTCCAAGTAACATTGGTGCCAGCTCCAAGTTCTCTTTACAACCCCCCAACTATACGCAGCACAGTAAATCCTGAACTAGGTCAATTCTACATCAAGTTGCCACCTTGAAGTTTCGAGAGTTAATGTGTCATACGCAATCTTTCACCACGAGTCAAAATCTATTCCCATGTTTGTTGCTTACTATCACCATTTTTCTAACCCCCTTCCAGTTGAAATATCGTTTCCATAGGTTAGGATATAAAACCCCTGCAACTATGGCTATATTGGTGCTATATGGGTATGGTGCCCCAATTATTGACCCGTCATGTCCGACTGGTTGCTGAAGATCTCCATGTTTGATGCGCACAGTACCAGTTGCGATAGAATAAGTTGAACACAATCCATAAGTTGGGACATTTTGTTTGTAACTTATGAAAAAATGATAGCTACATAATATAAGGGACATAACTCATAACCACTTATTATGTAGGCTTATCACTGCCTCCCCATGCCCGCAGCATTCGTTGTGATCCTTTGGACGCGGAGGCTGCGCTGCGCTTCACCGTGACAAACCCGACGGGGACGATGGCAAGGCAACGCGGCTCATGCCCAAGGTCAAAGGAATGCTGAAAGTTGTTTCTGCCCGTGCCACATCGTAGGATAAGGAGAACCTGTTAAGTCATCGGGAAAGTTGAAGCGCCGAGACCGTAGGTTCTAAATTTTAAAAGGAGTTGTATAAAGTTGTATGTATGTTTTTCTGTTTGAACTATGGTTGGTATAATTGTACATCATGCCTTGTAACCAAAACACGAGAACCACTGAACAAGACCACTCAAAAGTTTCGAAACAAAGATCGACAAAGGGCCAGGGCGAGGATAGGAAAAAAACGACTACTGGGAATAACCACATGGTTACCCAGTGTGAAAAGTAATGCTATCATGTGTTACAATCGGCATGAGTTATTTAGACTAACATACATATCCGTCTAAAACTGGTGAAAATATGAAAGTATATAAACACATTAACTACCGTATGTCATCGTGAAGCATGGCTATCATTTTCCAATAATCGCAAACTGTGCACAGCCACCAATATTGTGATTTTGGGAAAGAACAACGCCCCAGTGGTGCGTCAAGACGCGCCTGAAATGCTGCCAAGTGACGTCATGTTCCATTTTCCATGGTTTTTGCGGTGTTTTTGTGTTTTTTTCATCTGCTTGTGTCATGTCATTTCATGTTTGTTTTTTTAAAATTTTGAGCGAAATTGCCATGGCACCACAGTTTCGCGCATGTAGCACGGGGCTACAGCGAAATGCATCTTTTTAAATGTTGGTTGTAGTTTCGCTACAGTGAAATGGCATTTTTTACGCACTTAAGTTACTTTTTTTTGGACTTGGATTTTTCACATAGCAGTTACATCATGTTGCACGGGGCCACAGCGAAATGAAGGTTTTTAGTTTTTTTCGTGTTTTCGCTACAGCGAGGTGCATTTTTTTTTGATTTATGTTATGGTTGATTCTAATTTCAGAAACAATGAGTTGTGTGTGTGTTTGAATGGGTTTTATCTCCACCAGCAATTTGAAAGCATTCGAAAAAACATAGAGCATGTCAAAGATAGCAAGAGAAGATGTATAGAGCGTAGCATCATGAGCATGTCGAAACGAAGATGACACAGGAAGCAGGCGACAGAACCCCCCCCCACCCCCCCCATCATGAGCGTGTCGAGGATTGCAAGAGAAGATCTATAGAGCGTAGCATCATGAGCGTGACAAAGATTGCAAGAGAAGATCTATAGAGCGTAGCATCTTGAGCGTGTCGAGGATTGCAAGAGAAGATCTATAGAGCGTAGCATCATGAGCGTGTCGAGGATTGCAAGAGAAGATCTATAGAGCGTAGCATCATGAGCGTGTCGAAACGAAGATGAAACCTGAGCAGGCGACAGAACGCGATCAGCCACCCCCCACCCCCCCACCCCCCCCACCCCCCCACCCCCCCCCAACCCGAACCCCCCCCCCACCCCCCCCATCATGAGCGTGTCGAGGATTGCAAGAGAAGATCTATAGAGCGTAGCATCATGAGCATGTCGAAACGAAGATGAAACAGGAAGCAGGCGACAGAAACGCTATCAAGCCCCCCCCCACCCCCACCCCCCCCCAACCCGAACACCCAACCCCCCCCACCCCCCCCGTCAATCCGCGTGACAGGCGTGGAGAAAAATACACATAAACGCGCACTGCCAAGCAGAAAAGCAAAGCATAAAACGCGTCGCGACGTACGACTGGGGCCAAGAACAAAGGCCAATTTGTCATACCATTTGTCACGAAATACATCGGAATACCTATTTGATCCTATTTGGTGTTTAAGGGAGGCGGTCTCTTATTCTCTACCCCACCAACCAATCGGAAGAGGATATCTCAACAGCCTTCAAAAATCATATAATATGATCCCTCCGAAAATCGGTTGGTCAAAAACAGCGTTCCCATGTCAAGACTGCGCGCCATCACCAATAATCCAGGTATATGTTCATCCCCTGTAGGGCAATCAAACAACAAAAGCAACAAGAACAACAACCACAACAACAACCAAAACCACAACCACAAGCACAAGCAACAACAACAACCAGCAACGCCCCAAAACCTTCTTGTTTGGAGGATCATCCCAGGAATCGTAAGATGAAATCCCATTGTTGTTTGAATCCACCTGGTACCACTTACAATGAAATACTGAGTATATATGGCTGATATTCCCCAAAAATTGTGTCTTTTAGTCAATTGAAATTCCAGGATCCTAAAATGGAGGTACTGTACCATATAAGGCCATATTTTGTGGGGATATTCCCTTACATAGGCCTTATATAGGCCTTGTATATGGTAGGTACCTCCAATTTAGGTTCCTGAAATGGCCATTGATTTAGGGGTGCTACAGCTTTGGGGTATGGGAAAATGATCTATTGGGTCACTTATCCCTAGGAATAACCGTAGTAAATCCCATTATGTAATGGGTTGTGTTTTTTTTAAAGTGGTTTTAAACCACCACTTATGATAACCATTGATGAAAATGATCCATTATACAGTGCCAATCTTAGATACCCTACAAAAATTAACTTCTTAGCTGGTTAGTGGATTATCCCATTGATACCAAGAGACTAAAGGATTAAAGTACCCATCTAAGATTGACCTAGATATATGGGATGACCAATAATGTGATGATTACTTTAATGATATGTTCAGATCAATCAAACATGATTGGGGATGATACGATTGGGATGCCCAGTAATCCCTATCATATCATCCGAATTATTGGATAATTATCCCATTATATACCATAATATACCAATAATATACCAATAATTGGGATAATCCCATGGTTAATTCTCCAATTACCCTCTGGTTATTTAACGTAGCTATGGAACATGGCCCATTTCTAGATGATAAAAATGATGAGATTTACCTATTGAAAATGGTGATTTCCCATGGTAATCCCATGGTTAATGATCCAGGCCAGCCAAGTTGCATCGATGTGGCCGACTCTATCTGCAACGACGCCGCGGGACCCGCGGGTCCCGCAGCCGGTGCACCGGCGGGCTCGGGGGAGTCCTCCCTAAGGCCGACGTTGGGCACCTGCCCGTGCAAGGTGGATTTGCCCTTGGGAAATGGTGGTTTTGGCCAGGATCTATGGATGATTTAAGGTAACTAAGCTGGTTTATAATTAACGAAACTAAGATTTGTGGTAGAGATGTAACATATATCTATATACTGACTGCGGTTTGTGAACCAGCTTGCAGATGGTAACTTGACTGAGGGAACCACCTTGTGCTACTGGGGCGGGGACAATTAGCTAGTTTTCTGGTGAATGGAATCATGGGGATGATCTCCGGAATGTTTCCGTCCAAGCCGGCCAAAATGGAATAATTAGAATAGGTGATATACATAAATATCATGGGGATATGAAACTATTTTTATATGCAATGAAAATGCGTGAATGATGGTAGATGGACCAATCTTGAAAGACATTCTAATGGACGCTAAACAACCATGGTATGGCGAGTTTGTTTTTTTCTCGGGACCATGGCAAATCTCATAGGGATGTGTTTTCCCGGTAAAACGTGGTAGAACTATGAACAGATCACACATTTATCAAGGAAAACGATGACGGACCACTGGAGACCGGTGCGTCGGAAAGAGGAGGATGCACATACGAAACATGATGATCAAACATGAACAGTTTGGGCAACCTGCTACTTTCATCTACTTTCCACATCTCCAAAGAATTTCTGCTTGGAATGGCTAAGATCCTATTTTGGATGGTTTGGGGGTACATGGTACCCCTATTTTCGAAGCCATCCCCACAGACCCACCATGACCCCCCAGGCACCTCCCTATCCAAGCACTCCTCCAACGACATCGTGGGCGCCCCGCGTTCCACCGCGATCTCGGGCGCCTCGCAGGTGGATTCCCAGAGACCGCGGCAGCGGCGTTTCTGGGCGTTGAGGACACCGCAGAGAGCCTCCAACCTGGGAACGGATGGAAAAAGATGTCGAAAAAGCATTGGCAACCAATGATGGACCCACTATAGCTGCATAACTAGCAAATATATATATATATATGTATAATTATATATTTACTTATTTAAAATACAAATATAAATAATTAATTATCATATGATATTACATATGTAATGATATATATATATAAATATAGAAATACTATATTAAATTACATTATATATTAAAAAACAAACATTAAATATAATATAATATTATATATACAGTAAAGTATATATATATACAAACAAATAAATGCAAAACTTCACAAAACACAAAACCGCGTTCCAGGGTAGTGATTCCACTTAACTAGCTGGCAAATATTAACAACCTATATGCGCCATGTATCAATGTGTTGTTTATATATCAGCATTTGCATGTCAACATTTACCATCATTTACCAAACAAAATGGCCCTAATGGGTTATAGCATGCATGAAGCATACGGAATTGACGAGCAGCTACAAAAACCAAGCTGAAAGTAGATTTCAACTGACCCAAACTATGTATAACTATGTTCGAAGGAAGTTTAGAAAAGTCAAACTTCCGACAATATGGAGAGATGAAAAGCAGAGCAGGGAAGAGGCATAGAGAAGAAAGATTAGAAGAGAAAGAGTAAGAAGACAGAAGATTCAGATGCGCGAGAAGGTAGGAAAGTCGCGAAACACTGTGTTTTTCCAATGATTTGTGGCTCCGGGTCGAAAAGTAGGCTCGCTAAAGCGGCGGGTGCGGAGCCAGCTGGCCAGATGAGAGATGAAAAATTTGCACGCCGTTTTGGCGCGAAGCACATTTCCAAGTCAAAATGTACAAAACACACCATTCTCGGACCACTTTTGGAAGTTGCGATGTCGAAAAAGTGCACGCCGTTGTGGCGCGAAACACATTTCCAAGTCAAAATGTACAAAACACCTCCGCTTCGGACCACTTTTGGACGTTGAGATATTGAAAAAGTGCACGCCGTTGTGGCGCGAAGCACATTTCCAAGTCAAAATGTACAAAACACCTCAGCTTCGGACCACTTTTGGAAGTTGAGATGTTGAAAAAGTGCACGCCGTTGTGGCGCGAAGCACATTTCCATGTCAAAAGTGTTAAAAACTGACGGTCTCGGACCACTTTTGGAGGTTCAGATGTCGAAAAAGTGTCGAAAAAGTGCACGCCGTTGTGGCGCGAAGCACATTTCGAAGTCAAAAGTGTAAAAAACTGAGTGTTTTGAGCCTTTTTTGACGTGCTGATGTCGAAAAAGTAGACACTGATTAACTTAACTAACTTGACTAACTTAAGTAACTTCACTAACACGAATACCCTAACTTCGACGACAACAGCAGCAACAGCAACAACAACAACAACTACTACTACTACTACTACAACTACAACTACAACTACAACTACACGATAGATGGAGGGAGGGAGAGATAGATAGATAGATAGATAGATGGATTGGGTAATTAGATGAAAGAGAGAGAGAGAGAGATAGATAGATAGATAGATCGATAGATAGATAGATACATAGAAAATAGATAGGTAGGTAGGTAGATAGTCAGAGAAAGAGATAGAAAGAGTGAGAGAGATCAAGCACCTTTCAGTCCATCAGTGGCTTCGCTCTGCCATCCCTGATTCACAACAACCAACCTCTCCTATAGGTTTCCTATTTTTGAAACTTCCGCCACCGCCTTGTGCGGTACTACTGGTATGCAAGGAAAAAAGGTAAGCTATGAGAAGGCGCAAAAACATATAATATAGAACAAAGTGGACTCACAAACGCTAACAAGAAGATTTTCATTACATCTGACCTCCTCATCGACAATTTGGAGAGATGTTCGAATATCACAAAATCAAAAACAATCAGCATCTGGCAGATAAAAATGGTCAGTTTCCCCGTTTGACTTCCCAGGAATAGCAGGTTTACCCTCTGGTAAACTAAGATAACAAACTGGAAAATCACCATTTTCAATAGATAAATCCCCTATAAATCCACTATAAATATCTATAAATGGTCATTTTCAATAGCTATTTTGACATAACCAGAGGGTATTTGCAGTTTTCTGACCAGTCCTCCAAGCCACAGCTGGGTCTCATGATCTTCCACTTCCTTCGGCAAAATCTCAAGGCGCCTGGCATCACATTCTGAACGCAAACGGGGTCAATCCAACAAACAGTTCGGCTATGTTGGTTTCTATGATTAATTCTGGTCGTTGGTACCCCATGCTCACAAGGCAAGCGCGGCGGAATTTGATGAACAATGCCGAAAAACGTCAAGCTATGTCAAGCTAAATGGATCGAAATGTACTGTGTCAATGCCTCTATAATTGGCTAAGGTGACCATGCGAAATGCAATGAACACATACCAAAGACAAAAAGGTGATTAAACCATCCACGCATTTGGGATGTGAAATACATGGGATCTCATTAGTGCCCCTCCTGCACCCCCTCTTGCATGATTGTCTTGATAGAACAAATCAACCAACTAATTGGTGGTTTGAAATCCGAGGAATGGCTTACTAAAGGAATTATATACAATGATTATAACTAAAATGTAGCAATGGGATGGCCGCCATTATTCCAGACAAACCCCAGCCGAACATCAGCTGCAGTAATTAGTGCATGGTTGATACTAGATAATCAGTCACTGTTAACTGTCAACCATGGTTAGAAGGCGGCCTGCTACCTGCAACATATGGAACTGGAAATGCAACATAAGACAACCTGCCACGGACATCAACTGCTTTGGCAGAACTATGAAAGACAACAATGTAGCCGAAAATCGGCAAAAACGCGACTTGTAAGCAGTGGCCACCTCAACCACCTGACGCACCAGTACTTTGCAAGCACCTGCTTGGATGAGTTCTCTCACCAAATGTCATGGCCACAACCTCAAAAAGTTGAGATGATCCTCGAGGCATCCGAATAGGCCTCTATATTTGAGAAAAGTCATCTGTCAGCCCGATGAGATCACAAGGCGTATTGGGTACACCTTCCACACATGATCGCAAAGCGAACATCTCCGTGGTAGCACTATATATGCACTGCAACCAGCACTGGTGCTCTGCCCAACAATTCAGCATCCACGCCACAGCCAGCAACAATGTCAGCAACACATTGCTCAGAAACATTCAAAGATCTTGCAACATCCAATTCGCTGCATGTACTGAAGCCGCTGCACCTATCTATTTCGTTCTGGGTTTTGCTATGCGAATCAAGGCAACAGCGCTGCTCGAGCGAAACAAATCACCAAGAGGAGGACATCCCAGGTACAAAAATGCGCGGACCATGGATGAAGTTTTCGAACCCAAAGCAGCTGTGGCTGGCTATATCCCGTGATATGTAGAGTACATACCCATAGTGGCTGGCTGATGAGCATTCCGAACGGTTTTCGAGACTGCTCACATGTCGGATGGTAACACCAGGGTCATACTGATGATTACACCATCGCCCAGAAAATATCGGCTCTCAACATGGGTCAAGCCGTCATGGTATTCATTAGTTCATTAGATCAAACCAAAAGGCATCAACATCATCAACCAGTCACTTGTGTCATGAAGTGTAGCATGAATTATATGATCTATCCATTGACAATCGGTGCAAAAGAAAACTATAATACTTAATTAGCATTCTAGTGCGCCAACCAAAACTCCAATCCCCAATTTCACCAGAAACTGGTGGCAAATGGTAGGTTTACTCTTGGGTATGCCACCATATGTCCAATTAAAACAACCTCTTGCCTTTTCAATACTTCTTGTCTCTGCTGTAGTGTTGCCCGCTCCAACTGCACCTGAAGGCAGGTGTGAACGCAGTGAAGCATGTTGGCTCATGATTGGATGGACACTTAGTTGGAGCAAAGTGGGAGCAGTGTCCACAAGATCCAAGTGACCGTTCATATCGAGGCTTGTCTGGCAGAATTGGGGAACCGACACGGACTTTGGATTTTTAATGGTTGCTCATTGGTTTCCGTATTGACATTACGATGTCATGTTGGTGCAAGACTCATTTTCAGACACATCCATATTTTTAAGGTGGATGGAAGAACATGGTCAAAAGTTGTTTCCTCCTATAGTGCTGGACGATATCAACAATTGAATGGCGCATCGTATATAGTTGAGATTCGAACTGCTACTCAGCTATTCGTGGCTCCCGGACCCATGACAAGAGTCTGTTGTCAAACTCCGATGTGTTACGAATCATTGTTTGAACAATTTTCTGCAATGTCAAATGTGCAACCCAACGCGCATTTGCTTAGTAAACCTTGAACTCAGGAACCTTGGAGTTTTGCAGTCTGGAACCCTGCAACCTTCAAATCATTGCAGTGACTCTCCTTTGCAGTGGCTGTTCTTTGCGGTGACTGCTCTTTGCAGTGGCTGTTACTTGCAGTGACTGTTCATTGCAGTGACTTTTGATGTCAATACTTTCAAACCTCTGCGACTCGGAGGTATAGAGTCCTAAACGTCCTCTGAAACATGACTCACTTAACGCAACATGTAAAACATCTATAGGTAACTCTGTGAGATCCTCAGTTCCACATGTAAACGCTGCATTTGAAATAATGTCCAGCTGGCGGAAAAAATACGACTTTCCAGATTTGCTCTCCTGCAACCTAATTCCACGATTCACTTGCTTGCATATGAAAATCAACTGACATCAACTAGGTGGTTAGCCATCAATTTTCTTTCGTACACCCGGAGCATTATAACTTAACATGATCTTCGCTTCAACAAATAACTACAAATATTTCCACAACCCCTTAGACATGTTTCCTTGTGGATCTGTATTTCGGGGTTCATGTGATGCGTCGCTATCATTGGTGGGGATCTGACGAATTATTTGACCCTGCGTTACATGACTACCAAAATCAATGATAACCGATGCCGCCCTTACTAATGACCGGGTGCACTCATAAATCCCGAATCAACATCACCAACCCTTCATAAACTCATGTTTCGCCCCACCTGCTCTTTCTGTTTCCGCACATCTTCTTGCAGTGCCCGGACAGACCTGCAGATCGTTTGGAGGGAGTCCTGCAACGTGCCCGCCGCGACTTTTGATCCAGGAACCTAAAGCTTAAGATCTACGGCTTTAAGAATTCAATAAAATGGTGTGCGCATTTTTTGCAACCAATTGAAAAATTGTATAAATTTGTCATTCAAGCTCTTGAATGATGTGAAATGCTGTCACTGTGGCTGTAGGGATCAGATGGAAACGGCAAACCTTCCCCAGGATATCCCAGGATGGGAATGGCGCGAACCATCCCCGGACAAAAATGAAGCCGCGAAAAAATGAAACCCTCATACTCATATATCTCATATGGAACGCGCCAAACAAATCCAGAAAGAAAAGGGTCAAATTGAGCCGAGCTCCTTCAAAAACACACCGCCTTTAAATTAGTTGAGGGGCGATGGGTGTGTCGTATGTTTTAACAAACAGTTTTCCTTCTTTACTTTGTTTCACTTCTGTTCCACTTGTTTTCTTATTGCGCCGCCGCAGCATGCCACAACAACATCGGGTTACCAATGTTGGTTGCGAGTGATGGCAGAACACTAACAACACCACCAATTCCCAATTGCAGCCCCTGTGCTCCTTCAAATCAACCTTGGGAAATCTGGCGCTTTGGATTGCAGTCACGGGCCCTTCACGATAGATGAACCTCATGGCAGGGTGCTTCCACGGCGCCGAGTCCGTGCATGCTCATGGGTCACAACGTTTTTTGCCGGGCTAAAAACACATGAGATTGGGAAGGCACATAATCGTCATGAAACCGCGCGGAAATTTGCTACTGGTAATGTACCTGTAGCAACAATTTTCCCAATGCCCGTTTTGACATGCAGTGTCACACCAAAATTTGACGATCCAGTGTGTCGAATAGTCAAGAACATGCTAATAATTCAGGTGCAATGGCGCATGTCCAAGTCGCCTCACTGTCAGCTGCAACTCCCCATGTTCGACCTTCCATGACGATTCTGCTGTAGGTCCACCCATGAAGAGCGGCGGCGCGGTAACACCTCAGCCGCCGACGCAAACTCAAATCAAATGCTTTCTGACCCAGCTAAGCACATGTCATGCGATTGCATATGCAATGGCAATCTGTTTAAGCGTAAATGACAATGAATGACCCAGTTGGGCCAGAATCGGAGTGGTTGCCGATCCCTGATTTGACTTCAAATTCGATGTTCACTTTTTTGCGTTTTGATAGAAAGAAGGACATGCTAGACGTAAACATACAAATGCCAAAATAATGTGCATGCGTTCGATTTTCAACAAAACTGCACACAAATTCTAGCTGAGTTTTTCGAACTGTGCAAATTACATATCTAATCACCGTACATGGTATATTCCATGCATGGCCCTTTTTCCTAGTCAATGACAGGCGTAGGCTGCCTCTCCGGGCTGCTCTTTGAAAAAGAAAATCCTGGATTTATACACCCCGAAACTAATATTTCCATCTGCCCCATTGGCAGGGAGAAAACAACGAACCGGGTTGAAATCACAATCAGATAGAATTCAAATTATTTGAACCATACGCGTCAAAAGAACATCAAGGATAAAAAAACATGGAATGTCCATCTAATCCCTTGTGTCCACAATTGTCCCTGGCAAATGTTTCTTGACAGGTTCCGCACCATGCAAAAACACTTCATTAACATGTATTATTGTCAAAAAAATGTTGAACCAATCTCTTTACATTATCGTTCCCTTTTTGAATGCGTTGAAACAAGAACAAGACACCTCGGGTTTTAGCACCCTGTCCTTGTGCGGACCCAATGCTTGCCGAGCATCTCGGGGCAGCCGGGGCCACCAATGCCTTGCATCAGACACTCACACGTCATTGGAAAACTGTGATGAAAATGAATGACTGGCCAAACTGAGGATTCAATCTGCAACCACCAAAATTGATTTGATATCTTGCACGGGCGCCCAAGTGTTTTCAACCAAGAAAGACTTGCTGTTAAATATATTGCCACAACAGTGCCTGAACAACACTACGGCGCACTCATATTTATTTCCAAAAATACTAGACCTAGCATGGAATTACTGATTCAGGTCTGCAACCGTGCTATACCGTGCTGGGCACGCTGTGCACGACTTCAACACGGAACGACAGAACTGTTTCACAGGAAAACAAATGTGGTAACCCTCCACAAAGTGTGTCACTATCGTCACTGTTTTTGAGCCGAAATGTTCAAAATAATTTCGCTGCCAACAATCGAGTTTTAAAAACATAGTGTTTAAGATTCAAGATGCACAACGAACAAACAGCCCAATGCAACATTTTAGCACCGGTCTGACACAAATTGCTTCAAGTCCTTTTTTCATTTCAAATTAACTGGAATTGTTGTTCTTCAATGGTGTTGATGTCTGTCACAAAAGACACGGGTGAAACCCTTCCGTGTCAGAGGAAAAAATTGTATTTATCTAATATATTCTAATATTATATATATATATATACATATTTGTGTCCGCAAGTATGAACCCATATGAAATTGGCATGAAACAAATGAAAAACAAAACAAAAACGCAACAAGTAAGTAACAATCCAATGCATTTTTCATCGGGTTGCGGCCACAGATCGTCTTGTCATTCGCTATCAAATGCGCCCACCATGACTTCGCATTCCACATATGTCGATACCGCCAAAAACAAAATTGATAAATTTTTAAATATTTCAACAACAGAGCAGACTATGTGCAAGTGCAGGGTTGTTTCTTCAAAAAATGCGTCGAGGGAAAGGTTTTGCCATCGTTTCCCTAAATTTGGGTTGGATTCATTTGACTGGTGGATACCATGCCAGGTCCACCAAACCAATGTATAGTATATTGCAAAGCTAATACCGACAGAAAAAAAAAAATGCGCTGCGCTTGACAAGTATGCTTCTGGGGATGCTTCTGCGCAGGATTCCCTACTTTTGGTGTCGGTTAAATCCCAACAGGAAGGGATCGATCAATTTTCAGCAATAAGAACCTTGCCAAACAGGCATGGTTGCCTTTTTGGGGGCACCTTATGTTGTAAGGAAAGAAAATCTGATTGTTTCCCGGCCTTTGCTTTGGATTCAAATCCATCCAACGGTGCCGTGGAGACCATGCGCAACCCATCGAAACCCAACAAACTTATGAATATTTTAAAGCTAACACCAACGTTACACCCATCATTTTTCAGCACAAGTATAGGGAAAGAGGGAATGGCGTCCCATTTCTGAAAATGTTTTTGCAAACCTTGTAATGCGCCATGGTTAGTCCAGAAATTTGAGAGCCAGTCCCCACAGAAAGTGATAACGTTGCTGCCCTTTTCTGTTGAAGCCGCAGCCGCATGCAAACCACCAGCAAATGCAAGAAAATGCACGCAAATTTCCGAGGCGGGATTTTGCAACCACTTGTGAAACAACATGCAAAACTATTTTGTGTATGGCAAGGAAAGAAAGAGTGGTAGATAATGTCCAAAATAATTTACCCTTGTGGCAATGAATTCACAGATAAAGGTGTTTTTTTTGCCAAAAAAAACGCATTGAACCCACAGGAAGAAGAGGAGGGAAGGGAGGAACAGGAAGAAGCGAAACGAAAGCAAAAACTGTCGCCTGACAGGTGGAGCAAAACATGGTAGTACATATTTCCCAGCTAAAAGCAAATCAGGATCCAAACCGAAAGAAAACTGAACAGAATCCGAAAATTCGACATGTTGTTCCCAAAATATTGTCAAAACGTGTTCTGCGGACCAAAACAGCTAGCTGCACAGCAAAAAAATTAAAACCTTCCAATGCCAAAAAAATGAAACGTTGTGCACTTTATCTCTTGATCCTTCCCGCGTACCTCGCGTAGTAGCCGCAAGTTCGCTGGATCTTTCCAACTGTTCTCCAACGGCCCGGCCAAATCTCTGCGCCGCAAGGGCCCCGCCCAGCAATGATTTCCATCCATCCTGGCGGGCACGCCCACATGACAACCTTCAATGGGTGGATTTAAGGGCAAAAAATATACATGGAACCGTTTTTGTACGGTTTTCCTCTAAAAGCGTACCGGATATCAATGCATCGAAAACCTGGTTGAAACTACAAAAGTATCTGGAATCTTGGCATGTTCACTAGAAATTTTGAAACATGTTTTAAAACAATTTCGTTTCAATGTGTTGGACAACACCTTCACTGAACTCATATATCCCTTGACTTTTTCTGGTTACATAAATGTTGGAAAATGAAGACGGCATTTTAACGTTTCAACGACTTTCCTTTTTTATATCACCAAAAAATCCAATATATACCTTCAACATGAGTAATGGTTCAGGAAATTGATCAATAAAAAACGGTGGCTCCATAAAAAGAAACCAAGATCTTCGGTCGGGGGGTGAATTTTGGAGTGCCTAGGCGCCGAGGCGATCCAGATGTTTCATGTATGGAATGTCATCCACATTTACCCTCAGCACTAGGTTCAATGAATTGTCCCAAAAAAAAATAAGAAGGAAAATTCACGAAAAATCACGAAAATTTATCACGCATTGAGGACAACAGTTGGAATTCAATTTCCATAACATGAAAAGCCAAAGAAATAAATAAACAACCTTAAATATAACACACACACACATATTTATATATATATGTAATTTTACAAGGACTTATTTTTTCAAACATTTATTTATGTAAATGAATACATGAATACATTACATATAATATTCGCCGGAATACTGCCAGCCACATCCTAATGAAGTGATGATTGACATGACACCTTTTAAAAAAAATAGTTTGCATGCGTTTGAAACCCGTGTTTCATGCAATAAAAAAAACGTCATATTACCTTGATACTATGGGTTTACGTTGTTTTCATCGTATGACCTATATCAGGCATGTTGCTGCCTGCATCTTTGAAACATCCCGAAATTCCGAAATGGTCAAGGCTCATCGTTAACTCGCACAGCACATCAGATGTTTCAGCTGTCGGCTCCACAGTGGTTGAAGCATCGAAGCACCACTTGCACTGCACGAAGAGTGGCACGTTCAATCCCAAACCGTCAGGAAATTCCACCAGATTCGCCACGGATGCCATGGACGCCATGCACACAGCAAGGCGGTTACATCAAAGTTTGCACAGTTGAAATTAAAAAAATCGAACCATGACACATAAAACAGTGTTTACATGTATGTATATGTATAAAAACTATGACAACTAGTGAAAACAATGAAAAATATACTGTAAACGGTAAACCGTTTTGTAACAATGCCACACGTTGATCTTCTAATATTTTTTGAAGCACGTGCACTTTACTGCGCTGTAAGTTGTTGATTGATGTGATGTTGTGCGCCAGGAATAAGGTGCTAAGAAACGCTGGCCGGTCAAAACGCAAGACACCTCCGAGTGCATGAAAACACAACAACGACCAAATATTTCAATGGAAACAAACAATGAAAATCCTAGCGTTTTTATGTTTTACGCAAAGCGCTGTTGAACACATGAAACAACCATGAACAACCCCTCGAGCCGTGAGGGGTTCAAATACCTGATCGCCATCCACATGCAAAAGTTGTGATTCTGTGATATTCTGTGCTAACGGGGCCTTGTCCGGGCATCGCGCCTCCCCGGGTTCGACTACACGCTTGTCTTACCCGGCCCCACCCTGACCGACCTTGACAACAAACCCACGTCCTCATTTAAGTAAACGATGGCTTGCGCCAGCAAAAAAAATCAGCCGCCCAGATTGACATCATAACCCTTCCCGATTCTGTTCTTTCAATAAAAATTATCTTTTGAGCGCAGAATTTCAGGGGTCTTCGGCGAAGATTTGGGGCCTGGATGGGATTTGGGGGAAGATAAACGGACGCAGCCGTATAGAATGCAAAAATGAGCAGGCTGCAATGCTCTCATTCCCTAAATTGTATTTCCGACGTCTCATGTGAGGGTCTCCTCCTCCCTCCTTCCTTCCCTCCTTCTTTCCCTCCTTCCTCCCATCCTTCCAGGTCTAGAACACCCAGCTCCAGATCTCAGTGGGCACTGCGGGATCTCATCTGCGTGGTCCTGATCTCAGTGGGAACTGCGGGATCTCATCTGCGTGGTCCTGATCTCACTGGGCACGGCGGGATCTCATCTGCGTGGTCCTGATCACAATGGGCACTGTCGGATCTCAACTGCGAAATCCGCCCAGGTTCGGGCCACATCGTGTGCGTGGGCCTGGTGCCACATCGCGAGTGCAGGAAACTGTGGGAGTGGTTCTGGGCCCGGTGCCACATAGCGAGTTCAGGAGACCTTACGCGTGAACGCATGTCAGACAAAATTGCGTGTAAAATTTCAACCTACATGCAAGAACGCATGCCAGATGAAATGCCAAATGGAATGTCACATCGGAAGTGAGGCAAATAGAATTGCAAAAAAAATGCCAGCTAGAATGTTTAAATGAAATGTTAAAACATAATATCCATGTATATAGATATGTATTATACATGTATATTCCACTCCCCTATTACTAAAATCAATACGAACAATAAAAACTATGGTCCATCTCCATGGAATATTTCAGGTTGGCAAATTTGATTTTCTCATTGATCCCCTTCAAAAAAAAATAAATAAAACTGTTACTTGTAGGTTCTCACCCCCAAATTTAAAAAAAAAAACTAGTCAGCACCGGTGTATTTTTTTATCAGGGTTCGTCCGATTTTTTTTGTTTTTATATTGGGGTTCTAATTTAATATCTTATAAGAGGAAACTTCCAAAATCCAATTTTTGGCAATACTTTAGCGGCGTTATAATATCTCTACCCTTTTAGCAGGGGGGGACCTCCCCAAAATGTAACTTACATTTAGGGTAGGTAAAACCTTTGAAAATGTAACTTACATTTTGTAAAAAACCAATACAATCAGCACCTTCAAAAATGTAACTTACATTTAGGGTAGGTCCCTCTGAAATTTGGAGGGGCCTGAAAAATGTAATATGACAGTTTTCAGGAAAAACATTCCTAAATGTAACTTACATTTTTGAAGGTGTTATTTCTTTGGGAACTTTCATTTTTCAAAAAATGTAAGTTACTTCTTGGGACGTCACAAAACATTGGGCCCTCATGGGGTAAAAGGAAGAGGTAAACGTAACAGTTATAACTAGGTCTCTGCCAGGACTACCAAAAAAAACAGTGATAAACAGAAAAACATCAAGAAATACCACAAAACATCCAAGAACATCTCTGAAAAAAAACTAAAAAAATTATCATATTATATATCATTATATATCATATTATATCATATTCGATCATATTATATCATATTAGATCATATTATATCAAATAATATCATCTTATATAATATTATATCACAATTTATCATATTATATCATGGCATATTAGCATATAGTGGTACCCCCAAAAGGGGGGGAGGGGGGGAAATGTAAGTTACATTTTCCACCTCCCCCCTATTTCCATAGATCACTACGTGTGTGGTGCATTCCTGGGGAATACCTTGAAATTGCTTTGACCAGGACCATACCTAGGGGGGTCAGAACTTACATTTTTCACCCTTCCAAAACCTGAATTTCTGATACCTTAGAGATTTTAAGTTACAATTACACCCCCCCTAAAGACACCCCGAGAAATGTAAGTTACATATAGTAGGGTCCCACAAAAAAAAACTAGGTTAAGGGGGTGGGGACTTTATAATAAGAAATTTGGATCGATATGAAATCGAAAAAACGATGATTTAAATTTAATTTTTAGGGTCCGCTTCGATATGCATTTTTGGGCAATATTTGAATTGCATTGTGAAAGAAATTGAAATATGTAGTGAAAAAATATTAAGGCTCTAAAATTGTTATTCGGGTCCGCTTTGGTTCCCTATAAAAATAAATTGATACCACCCTAATAATAAAAAATGCCTTAGGTGTTTGTTATTTGGGGGGGGGGCATTTGATATTAGGGGGAAAAGGATTCAATATTTCATACCGGTATACATTATTAACCCTGTCAGGTTGATAAGAAATGTATATGCTATAAACTAAGGATCAAGAAAATTAACAAGGCACATCAAACCAGTTTAAGGTATCCCAAAAATATTGGCCATGTATCAGACTGCATCTTTACATCCGGTCAGCTACAAGATGGGGACTCTGGCATTGAGAAACGATAGTTACCACAGTCGTTCACGTTCACGGCTGATAACGTGTGGTAGTGGTCAAATGCCTGTCAAACTATCATGTTGTTTTTACCGGCCGTGGCGCGCACGGTTTTATTCCAAAGCCGGGGTTTAGCATACCGGAATGATTGAATCAAAAATTACCAGCAGGGTTAGTAGCATATTGAAGCAAAAAAAAAAAAAACTCACGGTGAGTTCGTGGTTGTCCCACGGGTATACTTGTTTGTGCTGACGTCGTCCAATACGGCCCCGGGGTATTCATGCATTTTTGTACGATGCACGTGATCATGGGGTTGGGTCTGGGGTGGGGCTGCAATGACGTTTTGATGTGATGTAAGCCATGTTCTGACCTTACACCAGGGATGGGGTTGGGTCTGGGGTGGGGCTGCAATGACGTTGATGTGATGTAAGCCATGTTCTGATCTTACACCAGGGATGGGGTTGGGTCTGGGGTGGGGCTGCAATGACGTTGTGATGTGATGTAAGACATGTCCTGATCTTACGCCAGGGATGGGGTTGGGTCTGGGGTGGGGCTGCAATGACGTTGTGATGTGATGTAAAACATGTCCTGATCTTACGCCAGGGATGTGGTTGGGTCTGGGGTGACGTTGTAATGTGATGTAAGACATGTCCTGATCTTACGCCAGGGATGGGGTTGGGTCTGGTGTGGGGCTGCCATGACGTTGTGATGTGATGTAAGACATGTTCTGATCTTACGCCAGGGATGGGGTTGGGTCTGGGGTGGGGCTGCAATGACGTTGTGATGTGATGTAAGACATGTTCTGATCTTACGCCAGCGATGGGGTTGGGCCTGGGGTGGTGCTGCAATGACGTTGTGATGTGATGTAAGACATGTTCTGATCTTACGCCAGGGGTGGGGCTGCAATGACGTTGTGATGTGATGTAAGACATGTTGTGATCTTACGCCAGGGATGGGGTTGGGTCTGGGATGGGGCTGCAATGACGTTGTGATGTGATGTAAGACATGTCCTGATCTTACGCCAGGGATGGGGTTGGGTCTGGGGTGGGGCTGCAATGACGTTGTGATGTGATGTAAAACATGTTTCTGATCTTACGCCAGGGATGGGGTTGTGTCAGAGATGTGCTTTCCTGTAGGTCTAGATATTTCTGATTATCTGGAATTTATGAATATGTATATATATATATATGTGTGCATGTGTGTGTGTGTGTCAAGTCACATATATATATATGGATATATAATGGATATAAATATATATATATATACATGCATATATGATTTATAATAAGAATCAGTGTGCGTGTCCAAGTATGCAAGGTATGCGTTTTTTTCGCTCTTTTGCACATGCACATGTAAAACCCATTGTGAATAGCACAAAATGGAAACAAAGTGCTGTAAAACGCAAGGCGTTTGCACATGGCGCAAAATCCATGGTGAGAGAAAGTGCCATAGGGGTTGTCGAAATAGCAAGATGCTTGTTGTCAAAACCAGCAACAACAGCGGGACCGCAACGGACGACGTTATCTTGTTTCTTTAGGTACACTTGGTGTTTGGGATTGTTTGGGCTATGGCCACACTTAGCTCATGGCTGTCTCACGGTAGTATTTCCTGCTGGGATTCTACCTACAACTGTTCAGCACGTACGTTTAGCAACAGCCCAAATGATAAAAACGCCAAAAAAACAAAAAAAAATCGAGGCATCCATGGACCATTGAGGCACACTGCAGGTTCACTAGTTACTTTGAACAAACCAACCAGCTGGCAGAAAATAATATCAACCCATGTGGTAAGTGCAACTCAGTCGTTTGGTGAAAGATCGAATTCAACACAATTTTGGAAACCCAGGGATCGTTTTTTCCCTCTCTCCTTCGTTACAAAGGGTTACCTTCGTTGTACATGTGCCGTACGGGTTCCTAAACGGATTTCATATGTGCAGTATCGTGTGGTCAAAATTGGTTTTAATTTAGGACTAATGGCAGCAACAATAGCGGTAGTGGTGCAAAACACT